ATTTTGGCCCTGACCCTTTTCCCTGGGTGATTTTGGCTCTGACCCTTTTCCCTGGATGATTTTGGCCCTGACCCTTTTCCCTGGGTGATTTTGGCTCTGGCTCTCTCTCCCGGTGGCTCCACGTTCCCGTTCCGCCCGGGCCGCGCTGTGGTTTCGCTGCAGCTCAGGGTTGTCATTTTCGGGCTCCTTTCTCTGTGTCCTGCAGGGAGAATTCCTCTCCCTGCACACCCAAAATGTGCTCAGGCCAGTTCTGCCAGCAAAGCCGGGCTTAGGGCAGCTGGGTTTAAACCACACGGCCCCAGCTCGGGTTTATTTTGCTGCCGGGGGGGTTCTTGCAATCCTGCAATCCTTCCACCCTTAAAAATCCCTTTTTAGACCCAAAAACCTTCTTAAACCCAGCGGGCTGGGCTGGGCTGGGCTTAGAGCAGCCTGGTTTAGTGGAAGGGGACCAAGCTGGGTTCAAGGTCACTTCCCCCAAACCATTTTAGGATAAACCCGTGGCTGAACCCCTTGGATGTTTCCCTGTGGGAAATTTTCCTCTTCCGGCAGCGCCCGAAGCTCCCAACCCCGCTGATGTTTGGAGCATCAGCCAAAACAGCGGGAATTGAGCCCAAAAAAGGGTTTTGTCCCTTTTCCAGGAGGAGCATGAAGAGGAAGGCCATGTTCACCTGTCCCTTCAGCGGGGACTGCCACATCACCAAGGACAACCGGCGGCACTGCCAGGCCTGCCGGCTCAAGCGCTGCCTGGACATCGGCATGATGAAGGAGTGTGAGTGGCCAGCTGCTGGGGACACTCCTGGGGCCGTGTCCCCATCCCTGGGGCCGCGTCCCCGTCCCTGCCACCTCCCCGGGGCCGTGTCCCCGTCCCTGGGGCCGTGTCCCTGTCCCCGTCCCTGCCACCTCCCCGTGCCCCTGTCCCCATCCCTGGGGCCGTGTCCCCATCCCTGGGGCCGTGTCCCCATCCCTGCCACCTCCCTGGGGCCGTGTCCCCGTCCCTGCCACCTCCCCGTGTCCCTGGGGCCATGTCCCTGTCCCCGTCCCTGCCACCTCCCCGTGCCCGTGTCCCCATCCCTGCCACCTCCCTGGGACCGTGTCCCCGTCCCTGCCACCTCCCCGGGGCCAGGGGTGCCACTCCGGGGGATGCAAAGGGCAGAGGAAGCAGCGGGTAATGATTGAGAGGAGCTGGATTAATGATTCCATCCCATCCCGGAGTTGTGTTCTCATGGATCCTCCTGGGGTTTTGTTTTTCTTTTTTGAGGAAAATCAGCTCCATAGCTCCCAATGGCTCTGAAAATCCTCTTTTCCAGCACTTTCCATGCTCCACGGGGAGAGCTGGATGAGCTTCCCCATCCCCACGGAGCCGGGTTTGGTTTTCCTCTTCTCCCCCTGGGTTTTTTTTTCCCTGACCCTTTTTTCCATGTGGGATAAAGCAGGGACTTAAGTCAACAGCAGAGGGAATTAAAGCGGTTTTTAAGCCCAGTCCAAACACACAAATGTGGCCCAAATGTTTGTTTTCTCCGGGTGTATTTAGAGATAAGTGGCTTTTAAAAATAAAACGTGTTTGAGGTGCTGGGGAGGAGCTGGGTGCTCCTGGAGAGCTCCAACCAAACATTTTCTGCTGGGAGATTTGTGGCCAGGGTATCCACAGAGCTGGAAATTTAGGATATGGAAGCAGAGCTCTTTTCTTGATGTGCTAAACAGGGCACAAACAGAGCCTGATGTCAGCCCAGGGCCTCCAGAAAATCAGAATTTGGAGTGTTTGCTGGGGAAAAAAAAAAATGCTTACATCTTCAATGATCCTGATGGGAATCCCTGGATTTTATTCTTTGGGATTGGCAGGTTGAGGGAGGAAAAGGCCACACCCCACACTGGCTGTCCCCAGATTTTGGGGAGCTGTCCCTGGTTTTTGAGGAGCCCCTAATAAGAGAAGTGCTTTAATTTGTACCAGCAGCCAATTAATTACCTAGGAAGGGCTGGCAAGTTCCTGGGCAGTAATTCCAGAGGGTTTTCTCCAGGTTTGCTCCATGTTTTCCCCACAGGAGTTAACGTGTAAACAGCCCCGTTAGCAAATCCTGCCTGCATTAACCAAAACTGACCCAGACAGGCTAAAAATAGCTAAAAATGGACTTTGCTGCTGAAAAACGAGGGAGGACGAAGGGTTGGGGTTATTTTTAGGTGGAAGGAGGGAATCAGGAAGGTTTTGTTTTCCACAGGGCGTTGGGATTCAGGGCTGGGAGTGTGGGGTAGGGAGGAAGAAGAGGAAGAGGAGCAGGGCAGAGCCTCGAGCCGGGGTTGATTCGGGCTCTGAGCCTGTGGAATTTGGGGTTGGGGTTCCCCCCCTGCTGCCAGCCCCAGTTTTCACCCCAAACCCTCCCAGGCGCCGCCAGCCGAGGTCACCACGTGGCGTTTCCAGCCCCAGCCGCCGGCCCGGGCAAATATTTGTGGTTTTCTGGGGACAAACAGGGCAGAGAAAAGCCCCTGCAGGCCCTGGGGTTTGGGAATTCTCCGCTGTTACTCCAGGTCTCGGCCAGGGCTGTTCCCTCCTCTCTGCCTGGGAAATCCGGCCTTTCCCAAGCCAGAAAAAGTGGCATTACCCCTTCCCTGCCTTTCTCCAGCTGCCTGGCTGTCCATCCCTCAGGGATGTTGGGGCTCCCTTGGATCCTCCCCTAAGAACCCTTAAAAATCCTTTTCCACGGATTTTTTAACAGCTCCTTGCGGAGCACCAGGGATAGGTGACCCAGAGCAGGCAGTGCCGATGTGCACCTGATGCTTTTTGTGATAAAAACAGGGCTGGGGAAGTGGCAAAATCCTGATTTTCCTCCCCAAGCAGGCGGAGGTGGGAGCGACCTCTCGGCCCCTCCTGAGGCGTCCCGGGCCCCTCGGAGGTTGTGCAAGATGGAAAATGGAGAATGGAAAATCGCCCTTGGCCCAAGGAGCTCGAGGCCGAGGCTTCCTTGCCTCGAGCTCCTCCCGCCCTGAGTTCCACCTTGAGTCTCGCAGCCCTGGGTCCTGCGCCCAGGAGCTCCGGAGCTGCTCCCGGGGGTGCGCAGCGCCGGGGCAGGGCTGAGGGAAGGGAGCTCCGAGGGCAGCTGTGAGCCAGGGATCTCTGCGCCTTTCTCCCTTCCAGCCCCTCGGAGCCTGCTCAGGCCTTGGAGTGGTTGATAAAAAAGTGAAGATTTGGGCCCAAATTGCCCCCGGCTGCTCCTTTTCCCTCAACAAACAGGCCCAGCCTTGCGTGGAGCCCAACCTTTGGCCGCCGCCGCCACCCCAATAAAAGCCATAAATCCCCAACCCTGAGGGCGGGGCAGGTTTGGCTGTGCCTTGACCTTAAAAATCAGATTAAAACTGCCCTGGAGCAGCGCTGGACACCCCTGGTGGCAGCTGGGAGCCGAGAGGAGCCGGAGCCGGGTGAACCCGGCGGCCCCGAGGGTTTCGGGATTTGGGAGTGCCGAGCAAACGGGGAGGGAGCAGAGCGGGCACGGCCTCGGTGCCCCCAAAGCCTCGCCTAAAAGCACCAGAAACCTCCTGGGCACGGCAGGAAACCAGGGCTGAGGTGCTGCAGGGGCAAAAAGAGATTTTCAGGTGGCAAAAGGGATTTTCTGGGGGCTGGGTGCGGCATCCAGGGGTCGTTCCAATTCCTAATTCTGCCCTTTTTCCTTTCCCAGTCATCCTCACGGACGAGGAGGTGCAGAGGAAGCGGGAGATGATCCTGAAGAGGAAGGAGGAGGAAGCCCTGAGGGAAAGCCTCAAACCCAAACTCTCGGAGGAGCAGCAGAAAGTCATCGACATCCTGCTCGAGGCCCATCGCAAAACCTACGACCCCACCTATGCTGACTTCACCAAATTTCGGGTACTGACCCCAAAAATCTCTTTTATCTCTCAAATCCTTCCTGTAAAATCCGCAAACCCCTCTGCCAGCCCCGTTCCTCAAGGAGTTTTCTCTGTTTTCTCCCCCAGCCCCCTGTGAGGAGCCACCCCAGCAGCAGAGGGGCCACAAAATCCTCGTCCCTCCTCACCCAGGACCTGTCCTCGGAGGATTCCTCGGATCTCTTCAGCTCCGAGGCCTTCAGCACATTCCCAGGTGTGTCCCGGTTCCTCCTGGCCCCAAACTGGGACTGAGAACCAGGGAGGGGCCCCAGGACTCTGCTTGGGCTGGAGGTGATGCCTCAAACCATCCCGAATTCCAGGGGTGGGGAAGGATTGTGCCAGAACCCAAATTAACCCCAGTACGAGGGTCTGCCCTGCTCTTCTTCCTCCTCTTCCTCCTCATCCCACGCTCCCAGACCGGGATCCCAAACCAGCCCTGAATCCCAGTGCCCCGTGGAGAGCCTGGCCTCAGCAGCTCCCACATTCCCTCCTGCCACCCCTGCAGAGGTCTGGGGGCAGAAATGCAGCACCTCCGCCCCACTGTGGCGTTCCAGAGCCTTTTCCCAGCTCCTGCGGGGCTCGCTGGGGCGCGGGCGCCCTCGGAGCGTTTCTCAGCGGGTTCCTCAGCGGGTTTCTCGGAGGGTTTCTCGGAGGGTTTCTCGGAGGGTTCCTCGGAGCGTTTCTCAGTGGGTTCCTCAGTGGGTTCCTCGGAGGGTTTCTCAGAGCGTTCCTCAGCGGGTTCCTCAGAGAGTTCCTCGGAGGGTTCCTCAGAGGGTTCCTCGGAGGGTTCCTCGGAGGGTTCCTCAGAGGGTTTCTCGGAGGGTTCCTCAGCGGGTTCCTCGGAGGGTTTCTCGGAGGGTTCCTCAGCGGGTTTCTCGGAGGGTTCCTCGGAGGGTTCCTCGGAGGGTTCCTCGGAGGGTTCCTCGGAGGGTTTCTCAGAGGGTTTCTCAGAGGGTTCCTCAGAGGGTTCCTCAGAGCATTTCCTGGCGCAGAGCCCGCGGAGCCGCCACCGCTGCCCGGCCTGGCGCTGCAGGAGGAGCAGGACGAGAGCTCCTCCGTCAACCTGGAGTTCTCGCAGCTCTCCATGCTCCCACACCTGGCCGACCTGGTCAGCTACAGCATCCAGAAGGTGATCGGCTTTGCCAAGATGATCCCGGGCTTCAGGTGAGCCCTTGGATCCCAGATCCGCGGTTTCCCGCTCCCGGGGATCCCGTGCTGCCCTTCCCAGCCATTCCTCAGCTCTGCTCCCTTCCCAGCTCTGCTTTCTGTCTCTCCCCCTCCCTAGGGTTCTCCTCTTTTCCCAATTCCCTGGAAAACACACATGGATTCCACCAGGGAGACACCCAGAGGACCCAAGGGGCTCGGGAGGGGCCTCAGCTTCTGCTCATTCCAAGATTTGGGGCAAAACTGTACCTGAAAAGAAACCCTGGGATGGGAATTCCTGGGGAGGGCCTGGTGAGCGCCCTGGGGGTGGCAGCTCCTCCCGTGTCCCCTCTGTCCCTCCTGAGCATCCCGAGGGCAAATCCTGAGGGCAAATCCTCCTGCAGGGACCTGTCGGTGGAGGACCAGATCGTGCTGCTCAAGTGCAGCGCCATGGAGGTGATCATGCTGCGCTCCAACGAGTCCTTCACCCTCGAGGACATGTCCTGGACCTGCGGCAGCAGCGACTTCAAGTACAGGGTCAGCGACGTCACCCAAGGTAAGGGAGGGCCAGCCCCGAATCCCAAAATCCCCTGACTTGCCCCTCTTGGGCCTCCTCTCTGCACCTGGCTTTGTGCTGAGAATGAGGGTGGGTCCTGCCCCAAATTTTGGGGGTTTGGGGGGTGACAAGTGGTGCTTCAAGGTCTCCAGTGTCACTTCAGTGGCGCCAGTGCCACCTCCTCAATGGCCCCAGTGCCACCCCAACGTGTCTGAAAAAATCCCCTTCCAGAGGGGAAAGAAATCCCCTTTCAAAAGGAAAAAAATCCCCTTTCAGAAGGAAAAAATCCCCTTTTAGAGGGAAAAAAAATCCCCTTTCAGAGGAAAATAACCCCCCTGAGGGTCCCCTCTCTCCACAGCCGGGCACAGCATGGACCTGCTGGAGCCGCTGGTGAAATTCCAGGTGGGGCTGAAGAAGCTGAACCTGCACGAGGAGGAGCACGTGCTGCTCATGGCCATCTGCATCCTGTCCCCAGGTAGGGACAAACCCGCCCCAAACCCTAAAACCCCACAGAAGGGAGGAATAACCCGCAAAAAGGAGGAAAACCCCCAAATCCTAAAAACCCACAGAAGGGAGGGAAAAACCCCTAAGTACGGCTGGCCCTAAAAAGGGGTGAAAGGGAGGGAATCCCCCCAGATCCTAAAAAGGGGTGAAAGGGAGGGAATCCCCCCAGATCCTCAAAAGGGACAAAAGGGATGGAATCCCCCCAAACCCCAAAAAGCCACCAAGGGGATGGAATCCCCCCGAACCCCACAAAGCCATCAAGGGGAGGGAATCCCCCCAGACCCCAAAAAGCCACCAAGGGGAGGGAATCCCCCCAAACCTCAAAAAGCCACAAAAGGGGATGGAATCCCCCCGAACCCCAAAAAGCCACCAAGGGGATGGAATCCCCCCAAACCCCACAAAGCCACCAAGGGGAGGGAATCGCCCGAGACCCCACAAAGCCACCAAGGGGATGGAATCCCCCCAAACCTCAAAAAGCCACCAAGGGGAGGGAATTGCCCCAAACCCCAAAAAGCCACCAAGGGGATGGAATCGTCCCAGACCCCACAAAGCCACCAAGGGGATGGAATCCCCCCGAACCCCACAAAGCCACCAAGGGGAGGGACTCGCCCCAGACCCCACAAAGCCACCAAGGGGAGGGAATCGCCCCAAACCCCAAAAAGCCACCAAGGGGAGGAACCCCCCCAAAAGCCCGCAGCCGCAGCGGGCGCCGCTCAGCCCCGGCGCTCCCGCAGACCGGCCGGGCGTGCGGGAGCCGCTGCGGGTGGAGGCGCTGCAGGAGCGGCTCTCGGAGGTGCTGCAGAGCTACATCCGCGCCCGGCACGCCGCGCCCGGCGGCCGCCTGCTCTACGCCAAGATGATCCAGAAGCTGGCGGACCTGCGCAGCCTGAACGAGGAGCACTCGCGGCAGTACCGCTGCCTGTCCTTCCAGCCCGAGCACAGCATGCAGCTCACGCCGCTGCTGCTCGAGGTGTTCGGCAACGAGATCTCCTGAGCAGCCGGCGCTGGTGCCGCGGGAGGAGGGAGAATCAGCGCCGGCTGTGCGGGAGGAGCGGCGCGGAGCCCGGGCGGGCTGCGCATCCCTCCGTGGATGTTCCGCGGCCGCGCTGCCTCGAGTCCCGTCTTTGTCCTGGGGAGGGGAATGCCAGGAGATGGGGTGCCGCTGTGGGTGCCGTGCTCTGCTCCCCCTCCCCGAAATCCCACAGCACCCGTGGGCTCAGACACCCCAAACCCCGGCCAGGAGGTGCCCCGGGCGGTGTCCCCGCAGCTCCAACACGGCCCGTGCGCTGCTGCCGCCGGACTGGGGCGAGCCAGAGGCGGCCAAGAAAGGCCCGAGAGGGGAAATACTGTCCTCGACCCTCAAAGGGAAGAGCAGGACGAGCTTTGTTTGCACTCCCTGGGCGGGGGGAGCAGGGGCATCTCCAGGAGACGCCCCCACTTTGGAGCTGGGCCCCTCTGCGGGATGGGGTGATGACTCCTGAGACCCCTGGCAGGGACCCCAATTCCAGCTTGGCTCCCTCCCCCTGCCATGTTCTGGGGGTGGCTCCAGGTCCTTGTTCCCACCCGGAGCAAACCCTGGGAAAGGGGGATTTGGGAGCTGGGGGGCCCCAGACCCCTGGGAAGAGCCATCCCAGCCTCCTCAGCCATGAGCAATGGTCAGAGGGTCCCCAGTGTCCGGCGGGTCCCCGGCTCGGGCCAATAAACTCCTGCTTGGGCAAATCAACGGAGCGCCAGGCTCGTGTGTCCATCTGTCCGTCCCTGGGTGTCCGTCCCTGTGTCTCTGGCCACGCCTGACTCCCCGGGGCCTGTGCAGGGCCGTGTCCTTGTCCCGGGTGTCCGTGTGTCTGTCCCGGGTGTCCGTGTCCCTGTCCCGGGTGTCCATGTCCCTGTCCCGGGTGTCCGTGTGTCCCTGTCCCGGGTGCCCGTGTCCCTGTCCCGGGTGTCCGTGTGTCCCTGTCCCGGGTGTCCGTGTCCTTGTCCCGGGTGTCCGTGTCCCTGTCCCGG